ATCACATTTTCTTGATCCATTCATCTACTGAGGGACATCTGGGTTGGTTCCATATCTTAGCTATGGTGAATAATGCTGTGATAAACACAGTTGGGCTGGTAGCTTTCATATGGCCTTGTTTGTGATCATTTGGGTAATGCCCAGAAGTGGGATTGCTGAGTCATAGGGGAGCTCTATGTGGAGTCTTTTGAGGAACTTCTATACTGCTTTCCAGAGTGGTTGAATAAGTTTACACTCCCATCAACAATGCAGTAGGGTTCCCTTCTGACCACATCCCCTCCAGCATCTGTTGTTATGAGATTTCTTGATGACAGTCATTCTATCTGGGGTGAGGTGGAATCTCAATGTTTTGATTTGCATTTCTTTTATGGCTAGAGAAGTTGAGTATTTCTTCATGTGTCTATTGGCCATTCTTATTTCCTCTTCAGAGAAGTCTCTCTCTATAAGTCTTTAGCCCACTTTTTAATGGGCCTGTTGTTTCTTTGAGGATTTGTTTTTGGGGGATTTACTTTTTTGAGTTCTAAGTATAATTTAGATATGAGGCCCTTGTCTGTTGTATGGCTAGTGAAGATCTCCCAATCCGTGGGCTTTCTATTGATCTTGCTAGCTATGTCCTTTGCCATGCAGAAGCTCTGCAGTTTCATGCAATCCCATTTGTCCAACCTTTCTTTGATTTGTTATGTTTCTGGGTCTTTATTAAGAAAAATTAAGGCCTGTGCCAAGGAGCCCTATAATTTCTCCTATTCCTTCCTGTAATGTTTTCAGGGTGTCTGCTTTGACTTCAAGGTCTTTGATCCATTTGGAGTTGATTCTAGTGCAGAATGATATGTAAGGATGTATTTTAGTTTTCTACAGGTGTTTAACCAATTTTGTCAGCACCATTTACTAAAGAGGCTGTCATTCTTCCATTCTATTTTTTTGTTCCATTATTGAAGATCAGGTGGCTATAGGTCTATGGGTTCATTTTTGGGCTCTATTCCATTGGCCCTGGATGTTTTTTTAAAGAAGGAACAAGAGCAAAGGGAAGGCAGTAAAGACAGCTACCAGTTGCAGTACAAGCTGCCATTTCATCTTGAGCCTTACCTGCCAGTATATCTGGCGACGTCTTACTTACATATGCCTGGGCTGTCTTCTGCGATCCTCAGATCTCAGCCTCCTGAGTAGCTAGGATTACACGTGTGAACCACCAACACCCAGCTTCCCACTGTTGCTTTTGAATAGGAAATATATGTTTTTCCTCCCTGTCATTAGACTATTGATATTGATACACCTCTAATCTTTTTAGGTATCATGTGTAAGGAGTTGGTATTCAAAAGCTTCCTACAGTCTATTTTATCATGTAATAGTAAAGAAAATTCTAGGGTTCAAATTTAGAAGAGCTCAATGAATATGAGCTTGAGACTTACAAGTAGCCACTGGTAGCATGCGTTCATTTGGCTGGTCACGCATGTCAGGGTTAGTGTCTCTTCCAGTCCTCATGGAATATGTGTTTTAAGTGAGAAGAGTTAAGATGAAGAAGAGGTGGGAACACCACTGATGTATATTCCTTTTATTTAAATAGGAAGCATGTCTCAGGACCTTAGAGGATATGTATTTAGGTTTTGTTTACCAGTCCTTTGTCTCTCTATTTTCATAATTATCTTTTCTTTCAAGCTTCTATTTCAGTGTGGAACACAAGCATAACTTCTTTTCATGTCTCCATAATTTTCCTTTTTTTTTTTTTTGCAGAATGTCACAAGCTGGAATCATAGTGTGTAGTATTTTCAGCCTGGCTTCTGACCCTTCTCGATATCCCTATAAGATCCTCTCCATGGGGTTCACAGGTTGATAGCTCATTTACTTTGACCACTGAGTACATAAATGCATACTTCAGTCTCTTTAGAAAAGAAGCAAACAGGGGACAAAGAAAGTAATCATGAGGGTGAATTTTATTGAGGCACACCATGTGCACCATATAGGAATGCCACAATGAAACCCCTTTGTACAATTGATACAAGCTAATTAAAAAAAAAAAGCAAGAGAGAGAAAAGGGAAAATATGAATTATTTTGAGTAGATGTTCTTGAATTATAAGCATTGAAGCCATTCGATGTATAAATAGAAACACAGCCTTTGATTTCTTTGCTCAGTATATAAACTTTATTAAGAAACATCAGAAGACACCACAGATACAATTGAACTAGTCAATAGGCATGTTGTGATTCTCGGATGACATCTGAGGAACGTCACTTGGCTACCTTCTGGGGCCTTTGATGTTGGAGAATTTGACTTTTTAGAAAAATGGAAGATAAAAATAGATCACAAAGCAGGATGCACATACAGTCATGGAGACCCCCAAACATGTCAATTTTCAATCCCACAAGACAGTGTCAGAAAAAGTATACCCGAAGCCATTTGATGACAAAGAGGGAGGTTCTTAGAATTTCAGAGCCATAGGTGAGGGTCAGCGTATTACTTCTAGAATAGAATCAGGTAGAGTGGTGATGCTCATATAATACTAAGCCCCAGAATAGGAAATAAGTTAGAAAGAGGAACTAGTTACTGGCCCAAGGTGGCCAAGGAAGTGGACACTTCCAAGATCCATTGTCCTGGGACATTAGGCATCAGCAACCTGGCTCTTAGCAGATAGGCTGGCAGCAGTGGCAGCAGCAGGCTGGGCGGCAGCAGGACTGTCCACAGTAGGATGGGCGGCAGCAGGAGGCCTGGGCATGGTGCAGCTGGCAGCAGGTGGGGGGTGTGGAGCTCACCACGCAGCAGGGAGGCAGGCTGGTGCCCTCCACACGGCAGTCTGGGCGGCACCATCTGACACGGCAGCTCATGGCTCCAGAGCTGATGCCACCTCCAATACCACCTCCAATGCCAGTCTGGCAGCAGCTTGGCTGGCAGAAACCGGAGCCAAAGTTCCCACCGATGGAGCAGCTGGGGAACCCACAGAAGCTGGTAGCACAACAGGCCATGGTTGGTTGTGAGGGGTTGAGTTGAGAGGTGAACTACTTGGAGAGGTTTCTGAGTTTTGGAGGTGACTTCCGTGTGGGGCCTTTTATATCTCCAAACCAGCTGCTGTTTGTAAAAATTCTTAACATATTTTGCTTGGCTTTTCTTTTTTTAGCTTAAATTTGCCCCTCAGTGGACCTCAGATTGGCTTCCATTGGAAGACTTGTGTCACATGATGAAAATTACTTTGTTTTACAAGGTCACTGAGACTTTTTTGCTCATTAGAAGGCTTGTGGTTTCCTAAGTTCAAAGAGTCCTCTGATTTTACATCAAGTCAACACCCTCATTTTGAATAGTAGTCATTCCTACTGACCATCTATCCAAACCTCTAAAGCTAAGGGTAATTGTGCTGTTTTTAAGTATTTTTTTCCATCTGAAAACCGAATTCCATTGAATGTAAAACAGCTAGGGACTCAGAGAGCACCTTTGCTAATGTGTAATTAAAGCTTCCAACTCACTGACTCTGACATCCTATCCAATTCCCAGTACAGCTCCTTTGATTTTTATCCATTTGAAATAGGTAAATATGAGTTATAGTCCAGACCAAGAATCTTTTCTTGTGACTCAGATGAGTTTAGCATTGAAGAAGGGTTAGCTTCTGGAAGAATCTTAAGAACTATTCATTGAGTCGAATTCAATAAATGTTCATTGAGTAGGTAGGATTGGACCACTCATAAAGAAGTAAGTAGAACTTACAAGATGTAATACCTCTCATGAAAGAGACTTGCTATCTGAAGTAAAAATGAGACTGGGGAATAATGTTGAGTTATTGTTGTCTGAATTGGATCACTGAATGAATGCTTAGGAAGAAAGACATAGGAGTTCCGACATTTTGAAGAATGCATTGCTATAAATCTTTTTCTGAAGTGCATCCGCTTGTGTATGATCCATCACCACCATCCATTAAAGTGCTGGGCATTTGTCAATAAGTTTAAAAAATGTTTTTGGCTAGTTTTTCCTGTACTCGTGTCTTAATGTATTTTGTATATCTGCATTTTGTGTTTCCTGGTCAAATGCTTAATAATCAAAAAGTAAATGGTAAGAGCAACTTAGTTTTGTTCTAGATTTGTGTTAACTTCTTCAGAGAAGTCCTTTTTTGGTTTGTTTGTTTCAGTTGGGCTGCAAAGTACAGGTCCATGATATTGCTGTGTTGGTATGATGTGATCATGAGAATAGATGGAGAATAATGAGAGCTAAAGCTTAGAGAGAAGAGAAATTTGGGGGGCAGTGGGAAGAAGGACACAGACCAAGACACAAGAATTGAATCTAAATGTCCTTGGAATTAGTATTGGTAGATACATTTAGTAGAAGATAGTGTAGATTGTTTTTGGTGGGTATGAATGAAGAAGGAGCATTATAGTATATTAAATGGGAAGAGAATACAGATGGCAGAAACATACTTAGAAGCTGGCATGATCATGTTTTATGTGGGAATCTGTAGCAATGATTAGCTTGAATATTTCAGCTAAAAGTGTCTATGTTAATCAATACCTAACCCTAATGTGCCCATATGCATCTGAAAACTATGAAGATTATTCATGATATGAGTAGCTATGAAGATTATTTAATTAGCAGATGGAATCAGGCCTTATCACAATGCAAATCCACTCTTGAATTTCAGCTGTAGGCATACAGCTTAGCGCTACAAGAAGGACATAACTCTGCTTGCTTTGCACATCAAGATGTTTTATTTGAAAGTAACAGGAGGAATAATCAAGTAGAAAGCAGGTCTGAAGAAGTGGGGAAGCAAGAGATAGGGAAAGAAGCCGAAATGTCAGGAAAACTAACAGTCTCTTCCAGATGCTCTACTCAAGGTAGAAGACGCTCTCCAGGGAATGTTGATTGATGCTTGTTTTCAGGGTCCTGATGAAGAGTTTTATCATTTATAAGCACCTTAGCAACATCCTCATACTTAGCAACCATCAAATGAAGCACTTCTTCAGAGATCAGTGCTGTTTTGCTGTGCTTCCTCTTTCATTCCTAAGTCACCCAGAGGGAGTCAGGCCCTTAACAGGAGGGCTGGCAGCAGGTGGGCTCACAGCAGGTGGGCTCACAGCAGGTGGGCTCACAGCAGGAGGGCTGGCAGCAGTGGCAGCAGCAGGCTGGGCGGCAGCAGGACTGTCCACAGTAGGATGGGCGGCAGCAGGAGGCCTGGGCATGGTGCAGCTGGCAGCAGGTGGGGGGTGTGGAGCTCACCACGCAGCAGGGTGGCAGGCAGGTGCCCTCCACGCGGCAGTCTGGGCGGGACCATCTGACACGGCAGCTCATGGCTCCAGAGCCTCCTTCTTGGCCACAGCTGATGCCACCTCCAATACCACAGCTGGTTCCACAGCAGCTTGGCTGGCAGCAGCTGGACTGGGAGCAGCTTGGCTGGCAGCAGCTGGACTGGCAGCAGCTTGGCTGGCAGCAGCTGGACTGGCAGCAGCTTGGCTGGCAGCAGCTGGACTGGCAGCAGCTTGGCTGGCAGCAGCTGGACTGGGAGCAGCTTGGCTGGCAGCAGCTGGACTGGCAGCAGCTTGGCTGGCAGCAGCTAGAGCCACAGTTGCCACCGGTGGAGCAGCTGGGAAACCCACAGAAGCTGGTAGCGCAGCAGGCCATGGTGTCAAGAGTCAGGTTCAGACTTGTGTTCTGGAGAGATAAGTTTCTGGGTTTTGACTCTACCTTCCACACATGGCCTTTTATATATTTCCCCAGAGCTGCTTGTTTACCTAACATTTAGCATCTTTCCTTGATGCCAGTTGCAAAGGCAGTCTTTGATTGGCTTATACATGAGTTGTCAAGAAAATTATAAGTAGCATCCAATGGTTTGTTTTTGTTAGTGTTCAATTAAATCTCATTATGGTTCTTCCTTCTTTGGACTAAGCGAAGGTGAATATGGGAGCCAGGCGCAGGAGCGTCTCTTTATGTAAGTCATGTGATGGGCTAGACTTAGGCCTACTCTTGCCCTGGCTGACTGTGTCATTACCTGACCTTCAATGACCTTTAGAAACATTTTATCAAAACTGAACATTGTCTTCCAAACTGGTCACCTAAGGTCGTGATTTCAGAGGCAATTTGTTCAGACTGGGAAAGACTAACCTTAGCATCCTTCAAACATTGAGTTATCACTCAATTCAGTAACAGAGAACATCCCTCTTCCAGTGATCAGTGTTTGCAAGTTACAGGATCTTAAAAGTTATGATTATTATTCTTGCCTTAATTACCAGTAAATGTATATTCTCAATCAAAACTGTTAATGTCTCTTTTCCCTGTAAATTGTTTTCTGACTTGAATAAATTAAAAGCATAAGCTAGTAATGGATGCGCATTGTGACAAGTCAAACAGTACAGTCATCGAAAGAGTCTTCTTTCCTAAAAGGGCGTGTGCACATATATCCTTTCCCCAACCAGGGCTCCAAAGATAATATCAGATGCATTTTTTTATTCCTTTCTTCCTACTTCTGCAAATATAAACAAGCATGAACACATAGTTTATCTTTTTTATTTTTTAAATTTTTTAATATATTTTTTATTTTGGTCTGGTCGTGGGGTCTGAACTCTGGGCCTGGGCACTGTCCCTCAGCTCTTCTGCTCAAGGCTAGCTCTCTACCACTTGAGCCACAGCGCCACTTCCAGCTTTTTTTTTTTCTGCTTATGTGGTGCTGAGGAATCGGACTCAGGGCCTCATGCATGCAAGGCAAGCGCTCTACCACTGAGCCACCTTCCCAGCCCCCATAGTTTATCTTATATTACAAGAACATTTTGATTTAATCTATATTAAAAATTAGAAACTGTGATTAAAATACCTGTAACAAAACTTAAGTTATTTAAATTTTTATTGTTATTATAAAAGTGGTCTATAGAGGGGTGACATTGTCCAAAAAGAAATACATTAATTGTCTGACCTATGTAACTATAACTCTGGTATACAATTATTTTTAAATGGCCTTTTCATCCTTTTGAGCCAGTAGGCATAGTAGCACACACATATAATCTGAGGATTGAAAAGCTGAGATTGTAAGACTGTGAGGTCAAAGGGCAGCCTGAGATACATAGTAGGACTGTTTCTCATTTAAAAAATCTTTTTTTTTTTTGGTGCAGGTCTTGGAGCTTGAACCCGAGTCTAAGTGCTGTCCCCGAGCTTTTGTATTCAATGCTAGTGCTCTACCACTTGAGACACTTCTGGCTCTTTTGGTGCTTAATTGGAGATGAGTCTCACAAACTTTCTTGCCCAGGCAGGCTTTGAAACATGATCCTCAGATTTCAGCCTCCTGATTAGCTAGGATTTCAGATGTGAGCCACCAGTGTCCCACCTAAAAAAAATTATTTTTATATAAAGGTAAACCCATCAGAATAAGAGGAGATTTAAAAAATCAAGCAAACATAAATTCTAAAAGCAAGTGGGTGTGGAATGACACTTTCAAGGGGCTGAAAGAAAATACCTGTCAACTTAGATTAAAGTACTTAACAAAGGTGTCCTTCAAAACTGATGGATAAACGAAACCTTGCTTGATAATCAAACACTTAAAATAGTGTATGGCCACTAAATCACCACTGTGGAAGATACTTAAAGAATCATACATACAGATGAGAAGGATAAATGCAAGCAGGAAAATGTAGAAAAGAACAAATCCCCATAGATGAATGCACGAGCAAAATAACAAAATGTCAAAAAAACTGCATAATTTTCGATATTCACTGTACATGATCTTTTGGCAAGCAAGACCTGATCATGTTTGCCTACAAGAAACACATCTAACTGACAAATGCAAACATTGACTTACGGTGAAAGAATGTAAAAAGATTTTCCAAGCATATTCACCTTAAAAGTGACCAGGAGTAATTATATTTATAGCTGATAAAATAGACTTCAGACCAAAATTAGTTAGAAGGGCCAAAGGGAATAATTCATTGAGGAGATAGCAATTTGCACCATGTACGCACCAAACATTGACACACACAAATCACCCCAACACTACTGGACTTGCAAGTACAGACAGACCCTGGCACAATGAGACTTAAATAGCCTATTCTCACCAGTAGAAAGGTCATCCACACACACACACACAAAATTAATAATCAATCAATCAATTCATTGACACTATAGGTCAAATAGATTAAAGAGCTATATACAGAATATGTCAGCCACCAGTTGAATAATACATATTCACAGCAGCCCATAGGACTTTCTCCAAAATAGATTATGTTTTATGACATAAAACAAATCTTAGAAAAATATAAGTTAACTGAAATAACTCCTATCAGACTATAATATAATAAAGCTAGAACTCAGCAGTAAAGGAAACTACAGAAAAATATCCAAGCACATGGACACTTGGACACTTGTACTCATTACCTCACTGATGTAAATGTAATCCTTCTGTACAGAATTTTTACAAGAAAATAAAACTTTAAAAAATATATTGTCGAATGACCATTAAGTGATAAAAGAAATAAGGAGTAAAATACAAATTCCCATGATTGAATGAAAATTAAAACTCTGTAACCCAGACCCTAAGAAGATAGTATATGGCTATGAGCACAAATATTTAAAAAAAGACAGTTCTCAAGTAAATAGCCTAACGTGTACCTCAAGATCCTAGAAAAACAATAACAAGAAGGTGGAAAAAAATTACAAAGGTTAGGGTAGAAATGAATGAAATGGAGATTTGAAAACAATACTAATACTCAACGAAACACAAAGTTCTCCCTTTGAAAAGATATGCTTGATAAGCTCCTAGTCAACCTAACCAAAAAAAGAGGATAGTTAGGAAGTTTCTTGCAAATATATTCTAATTAAGTGGAAAATGTAGACGAAATGGATAGATTTCTAGCTGCAGTGAAGGTACCAAAATGGAACCAAGAAGATATAAACCAAATAAATGGTCTATAACAAGGAATGAGATATTAATAAAGGGTAATGAGCCTAGCCGAGCACAGGACCTGATGGATTCACTGACAAATTCTACCAGACCTTTAAAGGAGAGCTCATACCCATGCACCTCAAGGAAGAGAAGGAATGACATCAAACTGATTCCATGAAGCCAAATGATATGAAAATGGTATTCTGATATCAAAACTAGACAAAGATATAATGGGAGAAATTATATTCCAATTTCTTTGGTGAACATAGACACAACAATTCTCAATGAAATAGTAACTGAATTCAACACATTAATGAAGATCATATGCCACAAACAAGTCAGTTTCATTTCAAGAATAAAAAGATTATTCAACATAGACAAATCAATCAATATATTGCAGCACAGAAATAGCATCAAATGACTAAAATCCCATGATTCTTTCAATCGATGCAGAAAAGACTTTGACAAATTAATGTTCAAAGCTCTCAAGAAATTAGGACTAGAAGTACCTAAACATTACAACAGATACGTATGACAAAGCTACAGTCAACATCATTCTAAATGGGGAGTGGGGAAAAAAAAGGATTCAATCTTTCCAAATATTGTTTTACTCACCTGTAAAATGCAAGGATATACTTTCTGGATATAAATTATATAATAAATCTAGCAGGTCAGTCATGTTAGTATCCTACATAATGCTTCCGTATCATCTTGCTTGAGGATTCTCAGTAAATGCTCATGGGATAAAAGAATGATCCAATTATTAGGAGTGCACAATAATGATGAAAAACTGAAATTGCATTTTAAACATTCATGTGTAATTTTCTTCTCCTCCATGCCCTCCCCTGCCACCCCCAAGAAGAAGCTGGATTTCTGCAAGTGGTTAGTAGTTGGAGTCAAGAGGACAATGGGACGTGTCTCCATTTCTGTTCTGACACTCAAAGGTGTTTTCTGAATTAGATCTGATCTCTTTGTGATGTTTCAGGGAAATCGATATTTTGCTTACATGTTACCTCTTAATTATGCTTTCTAACATTCTGATGTTCACAAATCTTTGAATATATAAAGTGTTATGTATATATACATATCTATCGACAGAGAAAGAAAGAGAGAGAGAGACAGAGAGAGAGACAGAGAGAGAGAGAGAGAGAGGGAGAGAGAGAGATTTGACAGTCATGGCCTGGGCACTTTCTTTAATCCGAGCACTTTTGCTCAAGGCTAGTGCTCTATCACTTGAACCACAGCATGACTTCTGGTTTTCTGCTGGTTAATTGGAGATAAGAATCTCAGGCACTTTCCTGCCCAGGCTGGCTTTGAACTGTGATCTGCAGATCTTAGCCTCTTGAGTAGCTAGGATTACAGGTGTGAGCCACCAGCGCCTGGTAAAATGTTATGCTTTTAGCCACATAATATCTTTTATATAAAATATAGCATCACTACCTTCCAGTGCCAAATCCAATGTAGAATGAATTAACCCTTATCTTTGTTGAAAAATACCCAAATTTATGAAGCATTTCCTGATACTAATGTTAAAATGTGTATAGATTTGGTGAATAGGTGTATTATATTTAAACATTTTAATGTTATTTACATAGTTTACTATTTCTGAATTTCCAAGGGTTGAACCAAGGAGGCTACAATTGAACATGTTCATGTAAATGTCCAGTGCTTCTTGACAGTCAACCCTTCCATCGTTCTCCCCCACCCATCTGCTTCCTTCCCCAAACTCAATTCACGTTTCTTACTTCCTTTATCA